AAAATATACTTGGAAAATACAAAGATGTTCTTTATGCTTGTACAAAGACTGCACAGTACGTGGAGGTAAGAAACGGTAATATGGTACTTTAAAATGGTATTAACTAATATTGCCAGTGTTTTGATACTCTTTTAATTGGAAAATGTTTTACCCACAGTACAAAGTCGTGCAGGTGTTGAACTGAATAAAGACCGGCATCAATGGCAAATGATAGGATGCTTTTGCAGATTGTGTCAGTTGTTTGTAGGTGTAAATATCCACTTCGTCCAGCGTTCTTGTTGCCCTCTGCGTTCTAAGAACCACGTTACTGTTTTACGAGTGAAAATCTCTCCAAACAACTCGAGTGAGCAGTTCAACCCTGAATCAACCTGAATCATTCGCTAAATTCACGGAAATTAACCAACTCAAAAATGTGATTTACTCTGAAAACAGACATCGCTAGTTCAGGTTCGAAACAATCAGAAAAATAAGTGATACACAACATGCTTGCTAAAATATTGTGAGAGGAATTATGAGCTTTTTTGGAGTTTGAAATATAGAAATTACTAGTCTCGAGCACACGATTTAAAGGAGTTCACATGAGATCCACACAAGTTTAGTGCAAAAACCAGTCTGTAGTGAGCATTTTGCAAACACATGCATTAAACTGGTAAATCAACTCTTAACACTATTAGATTATATACTGATATATTTCAAGCATATCTATGAACGCTATTTTAGAGTATAAGGATACAGTATCTAAACCAACAATATGCTTGTTAGATCCTGTACCCACTAAATTACTGAAAGAGTTGTTACCTGTAGCAAAAGAACCGCTTCTCAATATTATTAACTCGTCGTTGTCTTTAGGTCACGTCCCAAAACCATTCAAGCTGGCGGTTAAGCCTCTTATTAAGAAACCACAACTAGATCCTAGTAAACTGGCAAATTACAGACCCATCTCAAATCTTCCTTTTATGTCTAAAATTTTAGAAAAAGTTGTGTCTGCTCAACTGTGCTCCTTCTTGCAAAAAAATTATATCTATGAAGAATTTAATTTGTCAGGTTTCAGGCCCCACCATAGCACAGAAACTGCACTTGTTAAAATTACAAATGACTTGCTTCTTGCGTCAGACCAAGGCTGTATCTCATTGCGTTGCTTTGCAATGATTTGTATCGTGAAAAGCGCTGTACAAATAAACTTGAATTGAATTGAATTGAATTGTGGCCCTTTCTTCTCTCTGCATGCATATGAAAGTCACTGTTGCCAGATAACTAACCTTTCGCCAAACAGTCTGTGTATGCATAGGTGTGTTGGTGTACGAGTGGGTGGTGTGAAATTCAAAGCATATTAATGTAAGCATGTTCTCTGGATAGCTATTAACAAGTCTATAATTAACCCTTTAACTGTCACCCGTCCCCTCTGTGGGACGCCTAAGTTTACTTCACTATATTACAATTAAATCCTAATCTAATCATCAACTATATATCGTTGGAAAGGTCTAAGACTCCTAAATGGATATTTTACCATTGTTTTTGTTAAATTATGTAGGAAAAGTAATAGATACATTATGTAGGAAAAGTAATAGATTAATTTATGACAAGAGTGCACCTCAAAAATCTACATCATAACAGGAGTTCTGACCTTTGTCAAAAAAATTCTTCTTTGTTGTCTTTTTCTCTATCACACTTTAGAAATCATCAGAAATTATATATCAATTGAAAACTTTAAATCTCAAAATTCATCCTTTGAAACCCATTTTAAAATCAAACATTGCATTACCATGAAAATGGTACATCAATATCATGTTACAAAATGTTTTCGTTCATGAATTAACTTTCTAAAATACTATGTTCAAAAATGTGAGTGACAGTTAAAGGGTTAATGTTGTAAACTCAGTAGGGTGTAGGGACTGTGAAGGGGACCCAGTGGCTGCTGGCTAAGTGAGTGTACTGAGAGGCCATCCATCTCCTGTGAACGTAACATTTCTCTGTGGTGAAAGAGCACTTCACAGGAAGTCTGGCCCTTTCTTACACGTCAAATTGGAAGAGAATAGGTTAGGGCCATTATTAGCCATCTTCACATCTTCCCTCTGAGGAGATTTGAGACTAACCTTCATAAGCAAATATAAGGAAAGGCCCAGGTGAATATAATTAGAAATCCATGAACAATCATGTTCTCTTTTTACATTTGCACTTTGATTCAAAAAATTTTGACTTAATGTACCCTTATAAAATCGCTGATTGGAGTGTCACCTCAGATGTTTGACAGCGCAGTGTGGGGCTGAAATAACAGAGACTGTGAAGGACGAAGCCCCCCTTCACCCAACCTGCTCAATGAAAATTAAATGACTGAATTAGGCAGTTAATTGCCCAGCACTCGGACATGAATTGACATCTGTGTAACAATGAAAATGTGAACTGACAGTGCTTTGAGGATTGATTGCACTTTGCTAATTTACATTCTGTCAAGTTTTCCCTCATTCTTTTCTTAAAACGATTGTTGCACAGGCTGCAGTTTCTAGATATGACTCTCTGCTTTCTGTGAATCAGCCCTTGAGCATCTCTCTTCATGGTTCCTGGGTTAAAGGGCTTACCAGTTCTCAGTTTCTGGGGACTTTGTGTTATTTAGCAGAATTGGTGTCAGGTCGCACTGAATAGGGGGCGAAGAGGCAAGTCCCTTAAATCCAACTACAGAGAGCCATAAAAGGCGGCGTTTATTGGGAGCACACACAACTCATTACACTGCTCATTAATTACCAGATGACAAAGCAGCCGCTTACATATCAGCCTGTGGTGTAAACGGGAAAAAGTGCACGTTAATTTTTCTAATGATTATGCAAATGATCACCAAGCAGACGAAGGTTATCATGTCCGCATGCAAGGCAGTAATTACCACCTCCGGGGATAAGCACGAGATGAAATCATTAAGCAGAAGAGTTTAGTGTGATGCAGCAATGCATTTAAAACATCACCTTAACAATCAAATAGTGGTCAAACTAAAATGTTTGACATAGGACTTCACAGGTGTATTGAAATAACTGTAGCATCTTAACATTTCACTATTTAGGTTATTTCATTCTGATTTCTCACTTTTAGTGGTTGGAACACTTTAAAGTTTGTTACACTACGTTTTAGCAGTTCCTCTAGTTAGTGGCATGCTCTGGTTGAGGCGACATACTTGCTTAAAGCAGTAGTTTACTCTAGGGGAGTACAAGGCAAGCCTACGCAAACAGCTCGAAGACAAGCGCTCACTCATTCTAACTCATCCATGGCCTACTCACCATTCCAGCAAAATAAAGAAATTAAATTCCATATCCATAGACCATATATATATGGTTAATATAGGGCCATTTTTCACAGTCATCTCAATAGCAAAAACTGCTTGGAATCCACCATATATATATATATATATATATATATATATATATATACACACACACATATACATATACTGTACATACAATGCATGTTCCTGGTTGTATTGTGAACAATTTATCAGTACATTCCAAAGACAACATTTGTTTGTTCTTGTTATCTTTAATCAAAATGTAGGCTGTGCTTTACATTAACCAATAGCCAAATAGCTATTTAGCCACCATTTTTGCATCCATTCTGGTATGAAATACCCACCATCCAGTCAAATTTTAAAGGATGAAATAAAGTCCCACCCTAGTTTTTTATTCTCATTAAAAATAATGTTTCACTCAGAAATATGATACAAATATAAAGTGGGTTGCAAACACCAATTCACGTAGCAAATGACATATCTCCAGACAATAAACCGCCATTAAATCTGTCCCTTTTGACATGACTGCTAATATTGTTGGCTGCTGTTGTATTTTTTCTCACTGATAATTTACTTAAAAGGATAGTTCACCCAAAAATATCATTACAGTCAATGTCATCCATTGCTCACCCTCATGTCGTTCCAAACCTGCATGACCTTCTTTCTGCTGTGAAAAACAAAAGAAGATATTCTGGAGCATGCTGGTAGCCGAACAGTTTTGGTTACCATTGGCTTGCATTGTATGGACTAAATCACAGAGACATTTCTCAAAATAGGCCTATCTTCTTTTGTGTCATACAAAATGGGTAAGTAAATGATGACACATTTTTCATTATTTTTAGGTGAACTATCCCTTTAAAGTGTCTACTAAATGAACAATTGTAATGTGACCCTCAAAAGAACTTGATTCAGATGAAAGCAGTGGAAATTACATCTGAAGACACAAACTGTGAGCATAAAAAGACGAAGGGCACAACCACAGGCTTCATTACTGTGAGCTTGTAAAATGGTTTTGCTGAAACATTAATCCCAAATTTACAATGCAGTCTGAGATGAAAGAGAAAAGCAACAGGTGATTAAATTACGCAAGATCATAGCTGTACTGTGTACTGACTAAAAGCGCTTGTTGTTATTAGACTTGTTAAATCAAGCGAATAATAAAGTTAACTGCCTCTTACTAAACAACCATTCTCCATAATAGAAATGGCCATTCTCTTAACAAACCCTTGAGAGAATGTTCAGCATCATAACAGCTGGGGGTTGTGCAGTGCTGATCTAATGCGGAACATCTCCAAAACCCGTGAAAACACACCGAAGACAGACGGCAAGGAGCAGAACACCGCCTTACCCAGTCGTGAACTCAAAAATATTAATTTATGTTAAAACAAAATAGTACATACTACATCACCGAAAACATCCTGAAATCAAGATTAAATCAAGATACAAACAAACGCCTCCAAGATCAGCTTTCCTAAACTGTATGGTTTCCACTTTTATACGCTTTTCATATGACGGGCGGCAAAATATTTAATATAAATTATAATTTAATTAATTTAGTATCGTTCAAACGTGTTTTCTTAATAACGACATGCAGATTATGCTGTTGGAAGCTCATATGAGAAACATGCACAAACTGCAGTCAGCGCATAGGCTAACCATGCGTCTCGAGCTCGAGCATATGCAAAATAACACGACAAACTTTCAATAATAACCTTCTCGTGCGTATTATTACCTTCTTGTTTTGTTCTGCTCGAACGAATCCCCCAAAGTCAGTGAATAAGAGCGAGCTTCTTCAAACTTCAGTCAGATGGTCATCTCGACGCGCTTCTCATACCGGAGACACTAGCGTTCTGCCAGCGGTTAGTTTGGGTTTCGGACAGATGCTTCTCGCACGAGCATCTCCATTGGCTCAGCATCACTTACTTCGCCCTCCCCTGAATGCTCACACTCGCTGCCTGCATGCTGGATACATTCCGTACAGTTACTTTGACCGAGAACTACTAAGTGAACGCTTGGGATCACAACAAACAAGTATAGATTTATCTTACAGCTTTTAATGTAACTTCAAAGTCTTTTCAGGCTTGGTTTTGCAGAATAAATTAACCACTTTAAATAATATTGTGTTATTATTTGCAGTGACAGAAAATGGCTTGTTAACTAAAATATCTTCATTAATATCTGATTTGTTGATTCATTGGACCTTAAAAAAAACTAAAACATTTTTGTGTTGAGTTTGTCAATCTCTCTGTTCTCGTGAAGCATAACAAGAAAAGAAACACGTGTTGCCATTAGAATGCGTGATGTAGAAATGTTCGAAGATAATTATTCGAAATTAAGAATTGGTGATCCTGCTGGGATCCTCCCTCGAACCCTCCTGTGCCTCTCATGATCCGACTATTATAACTAATGACACGGGTTATGGGGGTGCTGTGAGTGACAGCCTCACTAATGAAGTGCATCGGTGAAAGCTGCCATTTTATAACACTACTGCCCCCTTTCGGTACTCCAGTGGATATTTCTTAGGATAAGTTCATAGGTCCATTTTTGAAATTGTCCCTATGATATATACAGTGTGTGTGTGTATGTATACCTGTTTTTCTATTCTGGTAGGGACTTAAACCTGAATACACACAGACTCATGGGGACTCGTGTCACGGTGGGGACGTGTGTGTGTGTGTGTGTGTGTGTGTGTGTGTGTGTGTGTGTTTCTCTGCCTTCACTGCGTAAATTTCCTATAGAGGGAAGATTACAGTATATGCAGACAAATTTCTTACAAATAATCATCCATGTATGGAACCACAAGCGAAGCGTGACTTTATTAAGAGCAAAGCAGATGAATCAGTCATGGGTCTGTATCCTTGGAAATGGGGCGATAATGTAAACCTTCACATTATTTTCAAGTCATTAGGCAAGAACACAATACTCCTAGCTGTGCTTTGGCCTAAAAGCAAGTTGTACTACACTTTAAATGTGGGCTTATTATGCAACATCATCTTATTTAGCCTGTTATGAGAAATCTCTGAGTACCACAAAGACAATTAATGAGGAAAAAAAAAACACACATTGGGGTAATGAGTGAAAAATTTGTTTGTATTTGTGAAACAGACAAATAAACAGGTTGCCAAATTTGATCCATTCACCTTTAAGAAAAGGACGCAAATGTTAATTCTAATTCATAAGCATTGTGTAAAAGACATTTCAAAAGAAGAGAGTGAATCTCTGTTGCCCTGCTAATTGTTTGCACAATTGCACAGTCTTATTGTTACAATAGGCTATATTGAACACAATGAATAGACCTCAGTCACTCTTGCACACTATCAAAGACAAAGATGCACATGAACACACACACAGATATCAACACACACTAAGCCTATTCAGTGTAACTAATTATGACTCTCCTCACTGCATCCTTGGTCATCTCGATCAATTGATCTCATTTGCACATTTCTCCTGAGGAGGAATTACTCTCCATTGTATCCAATCGATCACCTCTGCAGAGTCTCTGTGAGAGTTCACTGCTGAAGAAGGAGGTCAGCAGGAGGAAATGAATGCTTGAGTCAAACTCCTCAACCACTGCACTGACAGGCCAACACAAACATCTTAAACAAAGAAGGGTGAGAAAGAAAAAGAAAAAGAAAAAGAAAGATAAACAAAGGGAAAAGAAAAACACCAGAGTCTAAAAAGCTAACATTTATTAACATGTGTTTGAAATACAAAAGTTTTCCAAATAAGACCTAGTAATACATGGTTAAAAAAACATGATAATTCAAATAAAAATTAATGTGTTCATCAGTAGTTAATGCAATGTTGAAATGTTGAGAAAACACTTCTTAAAATTAAAATTACTCTGTCAGTCGGGATTCAGCCTTCTGATTCTCCTTGAATCAGACTAATTCTAAAATGTGTACATAAAATGATTGAACTTTCACAATATCTGCAATACATTTATATTGGTTCTGTTCTGTTTACCCTGGGGGGTTATTGCTGCTCTCCCTGCTCTCATCCATGCTAGGCTGCATGGAGGCGCAGGGAGTTCTTGCCCAGAACAGAACCATACCGCCAATCCAAACTGTATGCTAATTGTCAATCATCTTTGACGATAGTGGTCCAGACAGAACCAGGGGTCAAATGCTGTGTGGCCTCTCAGTTGTCTAATTACAGCCACCTGACCAGTGACTGGTCTTTGTGTGACTGTCCACAAAACTGGAAGACTTTCTGAATATAGATATATATATATATATATGCCACCTAAGAAATATCTATATCTAATATTTATCACATATGCAAGTGCTTCCATCTTCTGGTTTTTTATATGAATAACCTATTTGATTGCAACATATATGCAATTCTAATATATTAAATAATATAAATAAACATTCATGAACATTTATTTAATGTTTTTGAAACAATATAGTTTTGAAAAATACCACTGTAAAACATTGTTTAGAAAAAGACCTCAACATTACACGCCAACAAAACAAAACAAAAACTTCCGCTTATGTCCTGCTAAAGCGTGCGTTTAAAGGGGTCATATGATGCGATTGAAATTTTTCCTTTCTCTTTGGAGTGTTACAAGCTCTTGGTGCATAAAGAAGATCTGTCTCAAATCCAAAGAGATAGTCTTTATAAAAGTTAAGAGTCAACCACGCCTACCTAAAACGGCTCGTTCCAACACGCCCCCACATGTCTACGTCACGATGTGGGAAGATTTGCGTAACGCTGCCCAAATGTTCACGCAAAGAAAGAAGGCGTAACTTTTATTCTCGCTGTAGTATTGTTGTTGCCGCCGCCGCCATGTCGTGAAGATGCTGTGTTTGGCCTTCCAAAAGAGGACGATATCGCTTCGTCATGCCTGGAGCTGATCCGTGCTGGTCGCTGAGGAAATACATCAACTTAGTGCTGTGGATCGTCGGATTGGCTTTCACCGTGGACGAAGTGGAGTACAGCCCGGGGTCGTCACATTTGGTTGCCGCAAGCCCGCCGGCCGCGCCTTTCTCAAGCTCTGCTCACTCTAGTCCACTGCCGCTCACTCTAGCCCGCCGACCGTTCCTAACTCTAGCCCCCGGCCTCTGCTCACTCTAGGCCGCCGTCGCTCACTCTAGCCCGCCATGTGTGACGCTGTGTTTCGTTGTGAAAGAGAAACGACTTTGTTTGGCCTTCCAAAAGAGGACACGACTAGAAATCAGTGGTTAAGTTGTATTTACAACACTGTTCCAGAACAGTTCAACCCAAATATTCAGATGTGTGCAGCACATTTTATGGAGGACTGTTTCCTGATCCTGGTAGAGTAGACTACAATGCCGGCTGTTCTGACTCACAGGCGTAAAAAGACAGTATAAGTCATTATAATCTGTAATTATGTCCCCACTGGATGCAACAAATGCCTCGTTTATAATGGGTTTTCATGTTTTTGAATAGTAGCTCCTGCCAGACAGGGCATCACAATATGGTAGGGGCATATCATAACATAACATTTCCGTCACATGCTTGAGGTATTCGGCCAATCACAACGCACTGGATAGCTGGCCAATCAGAACACACCTCGCTTTTCAGACCGATGAGCTTTGTAAAAATCGATGAGTTTCAGAAAGGCGGGGCATAGAGGAGAAACAATAATGTACAGTATGTGGAAAATAGT